AATATTAAAATCAATGTAAAATTATTATTATTAATTTAACCTTGAAAAAAATTATTAAATAATTTTTTTTTATTAAATTAAAAAAAAATTAACTAATATCTAATTTAAATAAAATTTTTTATATTATTCTTAATTAATTTTTATATTTTTCAGATTGGATAAAATTGATTAATTATTTCTGAATATAGTAATCCATTTTTTTGATTTAGAAGCTAAGTATTAAAAATAATTATTTTTATTATTAATAAATCTATTAAATAATATAATTAAAATTTTTTTTTATAATTTCAGAATTTATATAAATTTTATCAAGGAACAATATTTATTTTTGTTTTATAAAAGTAAGTAAAAAATATTTATATACTTTTAATGAAACAAATAATTAAAAAATTAATGATTTTAAATTATTTTTATTAATTACGCTAGGAAAGCGATACAACAATAAAATTGGTAAAAGATATAAGTACAAGAAGAAATAATTTTACAGAATGATTAAGAATAATTTCACATGTTAAACGTCGATACGAGAGTATTCATGAAAAGATCAAAAATAATTTTAAATTATTAAAAATCAAAATGAAATTAGATAAGAATTTTTTTTTATAAAGTTTTTATTTTAAGGTAAAAGACCCGATTAGTGGCACTATAAGGAAGGGGGTTAACAGAATTTGTTATTATAGTTAAAGTACAAATATTGAATTTTTTTTGTACTCAATGCCTTCATTAATGTTTAAACTTACATAATTAATTTTTAAAATTTTAATTTTTCCAAATTTACCATTAATTATAATTATTTAAAATCCATTATTCAAACGACCCCATTAATGCCAGGGCCTATAATCCCCTGACCCAATTAGTGGCATACTACTGACCCCTTTAGTGCCGGATCTAACTCGTATGCGTAAAATTTTTCAAAAAATATATTATAAACACTAAAGTATTATTTACAAAGACATTTATTAGAAAAAGAATTATAAAATTAACAATAATTGAATTTAAAATTATTTAAGCAAAAATATATTGTTGATGACTTTTAAAAGACTCGTATTGAGATTGTTGATAACTGGACAATCAGACAGAACGTTTATCAACGTAAACAGATTTGCTATATAAAAAGGTTAGAGTGCCTTTGATTTTAACATCGCCGGTAATTGGCGCTAGAGAATTTTCATGACTCTACACGGAAAGAACAAGATGACACTGGATATCATCCCAGATTATGCAAAGTGAAAAAAAATTTCAGATAGTAGCTAGTATAATCCAGATTACAATGAGTATAATCCAGATATCACGCAGTATAATCTGGATTACAATGAGTATAATCCAGATATACCACAGTATAATCTGGATTTTTCTAACTACTATCTGAAATTTTTTTTCACCACAGATATCACTGAGTATAATCTGGGATGATATCCAGTGTCATCTTGTTCTTTCCGTGTACTAGTGACATTTTTGTTTTTTTTTTTAATAATATTTATTTTAAAAAAGGTAAATAAATAATTTTGTGATTCTATAGACTTTTCAAAATCTGTAATGATAATTGCTAGTATAATTATATGAGAAAAATATTTAAAACTTCGCTTTTAAAAATGTGACTAATGTTAACCGCATTATTAAGAAATTTAAAATTTGCTTAGGGTTGTCAGTTTGGTTGAAAAAGAAAAATTTTTTTTTTACTAAAAAGATTTTCCCTGAAATGAAAATTGAACATTTTTGTGATCTAGAGGTCTTAAAGATTAGAAATAAAATACTAATAATAGAAATTAATGATTAAATTGATTATATAAATAGCAAAATCAATTAAAGTGCCACTAAAGGGGTCCCCGCCACTAATAGGGTCTTTTACCTTATCTGATATTTTTTATCGAGTGACATTTGCCAATTGTAGTATGTACAAACCTCCCTGATTAATAAATCTAATTTGAAATGATTTGTTAATTTAAAAGCATCTGATTTGAATATTACATAGATATACAATTCACATGAAGGTAATTTCAAATAAAATTTCTGAATCAGGGCTTAGAATAATTTATTTAGAAATAAAACACTGTACCAATGACGTCCAGAGTTGATTTGATGTATTATACAAAAAATTGTTAAACTAATTTTTGAGAAGTTCCAGGTGCCTTGAGACGTTCGATAACGCAGTCCTTGATGATTCTGATAAATATTCTTGAGAAAAAGCGTTGACAAAAATATTACATATCGAAGTTCTAATTAGCAAATTGTCCAACTCTATTTTAGATAATCTTCCATTTGTACGAAAAAAATAATTCTAAATTAATTATCACTTCAAAAAATAATTTAATATTTAATAGAGGTAGAGTATTTTTATTTGGATCATTTAAATAATTTATAATTAGACTATTGCTACATCAAAATGTTAAAAAATCACCCTCTAAAAAATAAGGAGTTAGATCAATTACTATTTAGACCCTCGATATATTAAAGTAAAGGAAAGTAGCAACGGAAAATATTTAAGTTGAACCAGATGAAAGCATTTAGTATTTATTATTTTGTTAAATACGATCGTAAAAATCTCTGAGGTACTAAGATAGAGATTTGTGACAATGATACCGATAAAATGTTAAATTTTTAGGTACTTACAAGAAAATAAAATAAATATAGATGTTTATACAAAAAAAAAAAAAATTGTTTTTTTTTTAAAAAAAAAAAAACTTGTCAGAAGTGGGATTCGAACCCACGCCCACAATGTGGACTGCGACCTGAACGCAGCGCCTTAGACCGCTCGGCCATCCTGACTTTTCCATGAAAAAATGAAAGTTCATATTTCCAGTCCACGAAAATTTACCCAAAAATTTGTCTAATTTTTCGGATTTTTTCCGGAAAAATCATCCCTGATAGCTCAAAATACATTTTACAGTCAAAAATTTTCATATTAAACCCCAAATTCCAGAAAATTTCGGTAATTTTTACCGACCATCAACAACCACTCGACAGTCGGTAAGAAAATTTACTAACATTCCCGCTAAAAAAAGGTTTATTTAAATATATATATCTTGGCGTAAGAAATTTCTCACTTGGTTAGCACACACGTGATTAGACAAGTGCAAAAAGTTGGTGATCGATAAATCAACTTTCCCTTCCGTGATAAAAGCGAGCATAACATTCCGGTGGTTTAAAAATTAAATAAATTAATAAGTCTGGGAAAAATTAAATTTTTTGAACTTTTGCCTCCTTTTTTTTTTTTTTAAATTGCATCGTTTACTTCCGTGTTTAAATATAAAAATATATGTTTGCAAGATCAATGATTTCCGTGGCGGATAGAAAGCTTTGTTGCGTAATAAAAACCGGCATGTGTGTGTTTTTTTTAGTCGTATTGGAAACTGGGTAGAGAAATATGAGTAGATGGATAAAGAGTGTCATTTTTAGCAGACAGTGGATGAAGGAGCTAGAAGCTTTTACCGATTTAAAGTGGTTTACTGGTTAGGTGTCCTTCTCTTCTCTCGAGTAGATTACTTGCGTCAACGTGTCCGATGTCATGGGTTTGATATACGTCAAATGTATTGTTGAGGTGCGTCGGTTAATCTGATGATGTCTCTTATTTTTATTCGCGACACACATTCTGACATATATTCAATTTTTTTTTTAATAGATGGATTTTTAAAAAAAAATTTTTTTGTCATTAAAGTGATGGAAATGATGGAATAAGTGATGTCAAAATGATGTCATATGACATCATGATGTCAAAGTGATGTCATATGACATCACAATGACATCAATGATAGCACTAACGATGTCATTAAAAATGAAATGATGATATTAGTGATGTCACAATAAAAATACTAATTTTATGTGATGGAAAAAATGATGGCATGATGTCAAAGTGATGTCATATTACATCGTGATAGCATAAGTGATGTCATACGACATCACAATGACATCAATGATGTCATTATGGCAGTAATGATGTCAATAAAAATGAAATAATAATATTAGTGATGTCACAATAACAATATCAATGTCATATGGTGGAAAAAGTGATGTCATGACATCAAAGTCATGATCTATAACATCATGATGTCAAAACGGTGTCCTATTACATCGTGATAGCATAAGTGATGTCATACGACATTAAAATGACATCAACGATGTCATGATGATATTAACGATGTCAATAAAAATGAAATGATAATATTAGTAATGTCACAATAAAAATATTAATGTCATTTGATGGAAAAAATGATGTCAAAATCATGTTATATGCCATCATGATGTCAAAGTAATGTCATATGACATCTTGATAGTGTAATTGATGTTATACGACATCACAATGACATCAATGATGTCATGATGGCATTAATGATGTCAATAAAAATGAAATGTTGATATTAGTGATGTCAAAATAAAAATATTAATGTCATGTGATGGAAAAAGTGATGTCATGATGTTAAAGTCATGTTATCTGACATCATGATGTCAAAGTGATGTCCTATTACATCATGATAGTATAAGTGTTGTCATACGACATCATGATAGTATAAGTGATGTCATATGACATCACAATGACATCAATGATGTCATGATGACATTAATGATGTCAATAAAGATGAAATGATATTAGTAATGTCAAAATAAAAATTTTAATTCTATGTGATGGAAAAAATGATGTCAACCGTGATGTCAAAAATTTACCAAATCGTTTTTTTGCACATAATAATTAAAATCTTATGAAACTTATAATAAAAATGATAATTTTATAAACTACTCGTTAATCTTGTTGCGACAATCCATTTAAACAGACATTAGCCTCTTGCAAAAAGGAAATGCCATTGCATTAACAATTTATACTCACTTGTAACTTATAACTTGGAGAAAGGGATATCCACTCACGAGTAACCACCACAAATCTTGCCGGTTTCGCTGGATTCAGTGCGTGAATAACCGTTGACTTAAACTCTCGAGGCTTTTTAAAAAAAAATGTGACTCGCGAGTAAAAAAAGTGTTTTTCCAAAATATTTAAATTCTTCGTGACCATGGCCCATAACCTGAAGTTCCTGTTAGTCTTAATTTTGGTTAATTTTTCCGGGTCTGACGACCCAAAGTCGAATATTCTAAGGCTCAGCAGGCCCAAATCTACGACACTTAGATCTACAAGTGATTTTAAGGTTGATGACAACAGTGATAATGAAAAAACCGAAGTTTTGAGAGATCGGCTGCTGGCTTTCAGTAAAAATAATCCAGAGTCGGATTGGAAGACTTATTTGAAGATTGTCAATGACAAAAATGAGACTGATGGTGTCAGTGATCTAGATCTTGAGTTCTCTAAAGATAAATTTGAGCTTAACGCTAACAGTATTCAGTGGTTGAATGATATATACGATCCGTTAAGATGGCACCGAATTCCCGGAAAATTGACACCCCAGTGTCTCAGAGACATGGAATTGTTCATCAATTCGCTGAGGGATGGAAAACTTTGGGCTGCTAAGAGTTAGTGAAATTATTTTTTATTTTTTTAAGGCGGTGGGGATAAGTGAGATTGCGACATTTTAATTGCCTATGTAATCAGATTGAGGTTTTGTAAGAGTAATTAGTAATCAGGTTTTTATTAGTGTTGCTTATTAAAACTAAAATCGATATTTACATCAAAAACTGCCCTAAATAAGCCCCAGAATTTAAAATTACCAATTTCGAGTTGAAAATTGTAAACAGGGCCCAAATTTCAACGTAAGGCCCATTTTTAATTAGGCCCAATTTTAAGTTAAGCTCCAATTTTGAAGTACTCGGAATTTAACAAAATGTAGTTCATCTTCAATGATAAGGCCCATTATTAAAATAAGTCCCAATTTAAATTTAAGTCCCAATATCAAAATAGGGCCCGATTTTCAAAGAAGGCCCAATTTTACAAATAAATCACACTTTCTAAAGCAATTGACAAAGGCCCATTTTGACAGTATGGCCACAAATCAAAATAAGACCCAATTTAATAATAAGGCCCAAAAATCAAAGTTGATTCAATTTGAAAACGACAAACAAGTCCCAACTCCAATAAAAGACCCAATTTTTTAAGACCCAATTTTTTCATTAAGGCCCATTTTTAATGAGGCCCAATTTTGAGTCCCAACTTTGATACACTCGGCATTTAATAAACTGTGGCTCATTTTTAAAATAAGACCCATTATTAAAATAAGTCCCAATTTCAATTTAAGGCCCAATATCAAAATAGGGCCTGATTTTCAAACAAGGCTCAATTTTACAAATAAATCACACTTTCTAAAGCATTAGACGAAGGTCCATTTTGTCTATATGACCACAAATCAGAATAAGGCCCAATTTTAATATGAATTTCAAAAATAAATTTTTCATTTTATTTAAAAAGATTAAAAATTAATTTAAAGCCCAATTTCGAAATAAGGCCCAAAATATACAAAAAAAATTTGTAATGAAATTTCTTGACCCAAACGGTAAAATAACAACTACCTGCATAAAAAATTGAATATTTAATGATAAGGCCCAAAGTAATAACGGTGTAAATGTAAAAAGAAATTGTGAAAAAAGCGAAATGGAAGATGAGAGTTCGATCGAAGGTTCATTGCCAGTTATGTAAAGTGCATAACGAAGTAGAAAGTGGATACTAAGTGTATATGTATATGCACCGGCTGACACGGTGGTCGAGTTACATTCGCGAGCGTTAGTTATTTATTAAATCCTCGGATGTGTGTTGCCAATATATAAGTATTATTGTTGCCCAGCAAGTGAAACAGCATTTTCTCTTATTACGAAAAGTTATTAACGGTCTAACAGTTGTCCTGAAGAATTGTCTCCATATATTATATTTTATTCATCAACGTCCTCTCAAACGTTGACCTGCATTTAATTATTAATTATTGTTTACAGTGTTAGACGCAAGCGGCCGATACAATTCGCAGTTTCACTTTGGAAATGGATTCTGGCTCGGCTCCAGCTCCCTCTGCAAAGAATTGAATACCACCGACGAGGATGGTATCAGTCCGATAAATCCAATTATTTCTAATGACGAGTTACCGCCATATTTAATTAAGTTTCATGTTGTTCGAATGGGGTTGTCATTTCCACGCAATATTGAACCTTCCGTAAGAAATATATTTTTGTTTAATATACCAAAAAAATTAAGCGTTTAGCAGATAATCATTTTTATGATAGGATTTAAAAAAAATCCAAAAAAATTTTTCAAATGCTTCTAAGTCCTAAACTATTGGTTTTACAAAAAAAAATCTTAGGTAAAGTCTATTTTATTTTTGGTCCCCTACAAAAAAAGTCCTTATGACCATACCAAAAAAATGAACCGTTTAGGAGATAATCATATCTATAATCATTTTTATGATAGGATTTAAAAAAAAACCAAAAAAATTTTTCAAATGGTTCTAAGTCGTAAACGATTGGTCTTACAAAAAAAACTCTCAGGTAAAGTCTATTTTATTTTTGGTCCCCTACAAAAAAGGTCCTTATGACCATACCAAAAAAATGAACCGTTTAAGAGATATCGATATAGCTAATTTACTTATAGGTGTTTTCGGAAAAAAATTTTTTTTTTAAATTGCTGTATTTTGTAAACTATACACTTTAGGAGGAAAAATTTGAAATAAAATTGATAGGAAATCAAATTTCTTACAAAAAAAGGTCCTTATTTTAGAATAAAAATTCCCTTGTGGAAAATCAGAATTTTAACGATCAGTTACTTTCAGACTCGTCAAATATTCTTAGGACTATGTTTACCTGCAACCTGCGACCGAATTTCCTTAGGCTCGATGTTAAGGACAAGCGTGGAACGGGTTGAAAGGCTTGGAAATGGGACTCACGGGCCCCATGGCCCAAAAATCACAATTGTTACAGTGAAGCCAGTGCCCTCTAGCGACTACTCGGTCTGGAATGATTCGAAATTATATATTCTTGGGTAAGTAATTGACTTGCAATAATAATTATTAATTATTATTGATTGTATGTGAAATATGACCTAGTAAGTGCAAGTAACTTATTTCTTAAGAGTATGTTGTAATTTTGTTGCATGTGGAGACAATATTTATTGCACAATTTTTTGTACGGAGATGAATTAGTTCCAATAAATTATACCTACTGTAAATTTAATTTGTTAAGAGGAAATAATTTTAATTTTAATTTTATTATGAAAGTGGGACTTGTTTAATAATTAGTTTAAGAGTTATTTAGTTTGTTATGAAGTCACAGAAAAGTTAAGTAAGATTATTTTAATGTTTGAATGTTGTACTGATGTAATTTTATAATTTAGTTAGGTAGTTCTTGGTTTTACCGCTAGGTGGCGAGTTGGTGGATTTTTTTCTCGCTAGCAGAGACTTTGAACCCGGATGTAGTCATTTAAAAATTAACTTTAGAAGTGCTGAACAATAAATGTGACGGTTTAAGATCCATTAACCTCATAAGGCCCAAAAATAAGGCATAAGGCCTAAAATTTTTTAGGCTTGTATTAGATTTTTTAGTGTCAAATACAATTAAAAAATGTAAAATTGATTTAATATAAGGCCCAAAATATATTATAAGGTCCAAATTTCACGATTCTTCCATTAAAATTCCTATTATTTGAACCAAGTTTTATAAAAGTAAAGATTAATTTCATTTTAAGGTCCATTCTGCCATAAGGCCCAAAATCTAAAATAAGACCCAAAAAATTTTAGTCTTTTATTAGATTTTACTGTGTTTAATGTATTTAAAAAGGTAAAGTAGTCAATATAAGGCCCAAAATATACTATAAGGTCCAAATAGAAAATAAGGCCCAAAATTCAATGTACTGATTAGAATATTATTTATATTAAAAACGTCTTTAAAAATTATACAAAAGTAAATATTTATTTCACATTAAGGCCCATTTTTGTTATAAGGCCCAAAATTCAAGATAATGCCCAAAATCTAAGATTTCTCCATTAAAACTTTTATTATTTAAACTCAATTTTACAAAATTAAAGATTAATTTTACACTAAGGCCCATTTTGTCGTAAGACCCAAAATCCAAAATAAGGCCCAAAATTAAAAAAAAATTGTTTTTTATTATTTTTTTTAGTATGATTAAAAAAAACTTTTTTTGGCGATTAATAATTAAATAGTCCTTAGTTTCACCGCTAGGTGGCGATGAGTAGATTTTTTTTTCGCTTGTAGAAACTTGAATCGAAGCTTTTATACAATAAAAAAAATTGTTTTTTTTATTCATGAATAAAAACACTTAATAAATTCAAAAAATTGAGTGTTACGAATATTACATGAGCTTTAATAATAAATCAAGATAGAATAAATAGAATAAATTTCCACAAGCTTTCAGAGAAAAAAATCGTCCTGACAATATAAATTTTTTTGTTATAAAAATATCATATCCTTTTTATATTAATACGATAAAATATTTTAGTGAAACAATAATCTTTATAATCGGATCTGACTGAGTTTCTGTCTAAATCCCTCTTTTGTGGATGATACTTGTCATACGTCTCTGTTCACCCACACCACCCCCTTCTCGTTCACCTCCCTTCAGCGTAAACACCAAAAAATTCACTAGGCGTTATCATGAATCGATTTTTCACGCACGGACACACTTGAATAAAATTATCAAGTAAATTTTTTTTTTTTTTTTAATTAAAGTGCATTGAGGAATTTTACCAATTTTTTTTTTCGACTATTTGGATTGTGGAATGTAATAAGTGAACTTTCACGCGCACGAGTCTTTACAGTCGAATGTTTTCTATATGTTATGTAATAAGTGCATTATTTATTATTTTAGTGTTAACTTTCATTTGATGCCCAAAAAGATCGATTAAATTATGTTATAAAATCACGAAATCGGAAAGTTTACATCGCCGATTAAGTAAGAAGTAATTTTTAAAAAAATTTAAATTTTATTATATAATTTTCGTTCAAAGTTTCTGCAAGCGAGAAAAAAAGCGTCAAATCGCCACCTATATAGCGGTGAAACCAAGAACTATTTAATAATAAATTATTATTTTTCAATGTTTGTACATAAATTGATCTTCAATTATAATAATTGTTTATTTGTCCTTTTCAGAGGAGTAGGCGGAGTAATAGCGCTACTAATGCTAATAGCAACAGTATATGATTATCGTCGGCTAACAGAAGACCCAGACATTGAATCAACAGCTCCAGGGAGTAATAATAATGAACGTGCTTCAACATATGTAAACAAAAACTTTTCAGACGAACAACAAGTTACTGTTGTACAGGATAATAGAAATTATATTGGGAAAATTAAAAATCATCGGGATTTTCATCTTGATGATAATATTAATAAGAAAAATCGTAAAACTAAAGGTAATCTAATTAAATTTTGATTTTTTAATGAAAAAATTATTTTTGTCAATAAGACGTGATGTAAATTTTGACATCATGATGTCATTTTTGACATCGTGATGTCAATATGGTGTGATGTAAATTTCGACATCATGATGTCAATAAAACGTGATGTAAATTTCGACATCATGGTGTCCATATGATGTGATGTAAATTTTGACATCATGATGTCAATAAGACGTGATGTAAATTTTGACATCATGATGTCATTTTTGAATTATTTTGGCAAAAAGAACGTACTATTCATAATTTCTTAGGATTTTGGATGAAATGTCTCTTATCATTCAGCCCAATAGAAAATGGCTCAAAAATTCTCTCCACTGACCCCGCAGCCCGCGACAACTTGACTTGTCTCCATGGACTACGAGTCCTTTCTTTAGGATGGGTCATCCTGGTCCACACTTATCTGCAAGTATTCTCAATTGCCGGTGAGTTTATAAATTTATTTACTTAATTATTAATACCATCTGTCGGTAATTTTCGTATTCTCAAAATTAGTATTGAAACAAAAATAACCAAGGTATAATATATGAGAATATTTATCGGAGTTTTAACGTTAGAAAGTCTAAATTCCGCCTTTCACCGTGTTATTTCAGAGAACAAGACCTTACGCACGGTCACTGAAAGGAATTTTATGTTCCAGACTATTAGCAACGCTACCTTTTCCGTTGACACTTTTTTCTTTATTAGGTAATTTATTTTTATTTAACTTTATAAATAACTATTTTTTACAATCAACTCACCTTAGATAAATTTTTCTTATTTTATTTCAGTGGACTTTTAGTGACAATTCTGTTTTACCGATCAATGGGGGCTATCAAGAGTGATAGCAATAATTTTTTACGATCAAGTTCTACAAAATTTTTTATCATGGTACTCTACAGATTTGTCAGGTAACAAATTCTTTATTATTTTTATTCTAAAATTACCTTCAAAATTCATGATGTCATGATGTCAAATGTGATGTCATGATGTAACAAAATCATTTTTTTTAAATTACGTTGTAAAAATACTGTAATATCAATTTTGACATCATGATGTCAAGTGATGGAAAAGTTGACATCATGATGTCAAGTGATGGAAAAATTGACATCATGATGGAAAGTGATGGAAATGTTGACATCATGATGTCAAGTGATGGGAATATTGACTGGTATCGTAATTTTATAATTAATAAATTTAGAAAAATTGACATCATGATGTCAAATGATGGAATATTGACTGGTATCGTAATTTTATAATTAATAAATTTAGAAAAATTGACATCATGATGGTAAGTGATGGAAATGTTGACATCATGATGTCAAGTGATGGAAAAATTGACATCATGATGGAAAGTGATGTCATTTTGTGATCTGTGATGGAATATTTGATGCCATACTGTCATATTTAATGGAATGTGTGATGTCAAAATTTAATGATGTCATTTTTGACATCAAGATGTCATATGTGATATCAAAATTTTTTTTTTATGGAAAAGTTAGAATCATGAGTGATGGCACAGATGATGTAATGATGTCAAATGTTAAAGAATTATTGTTTTTTTGTAATACAATTATTTGACTATCCTAAATAACTTTCCGATAAAATTTATGTCTTAGGTTAACACCAGCGTACTTATTTGTACTGGGAATAAACGAGCTAGCGATAAAACAAGCCCAGGCAACAACAGTATTCTCCCCAGTGATAATAGACCAAGTGACTTGCGAAAAATTCTGGTGGCGCAATGCTCTCTACCTCAACTCCCTTTTTCCACGCTCTGAAATGGTAAGAATCAATTACTAATTTTAGGAGCTCACATTCAGTAGTATTACTATACACCTACCCTTTATTTCCATCCTGAATCCTTTCGTCACTTTCAACCACTCCCCTTTCTTGTTACTCACTCGGTGGAAATAAAATATATTGGTAAAATTTAATTAAATTTTTCTAATCTATACGTATGTACTTGTATTAATTAAAAAAAATTTTTTAACTCCTATCAAAAAATTCTATGACTTCTAGAATAATTTTATGAGTCATAAAAATTTTTTATAACTCTTAAAATAATTCTAGGACTCCTCAAAAAAATTCTATCGTTTTATTAAGACTTCTAGAACAATTTCAAAACATTTAGAAAAATTCTATGACTCTTAGAAATTTTTTTTGAGGCCTTATTGAATTTCTAGAATGTTTATATGGCTCACATATATATTCTAGAACTTTAAGAATGTTCTATAGAGGTTCTAAATCTCTTGGAGTATTTATATGACTCCTAAAAAATTTTCCTAAAACTTCTAGAACTCCTAGAGGGTTTAAATATAGTTCCTAAGACCCCTAGAATCATTCTATGATTCATAGAAAATTTCGTCAGTCTTGAAAACTCGTAGAATTAATCTAGAAGTTTCATAAAAATTTCCTAGAAGGTTTTAATGACTCCTAAAGTTATTCTATGACTCCTAGAAAACTCCACCACATTTTTGATAAGTTATAAAACTGAATTATAACTCCTAGAGGTAATCTAGAATTTTTGGAAAATTTTCCTAAATATTTTACGACTCCTAGAATAATTCTATGATTCTTAGAAAATTATATAACAGTCCCTATGACTCCTAGAATTAATCTAGAACTCCTAGAAAAATTTTCTAAATGTTTTTATGACTCCCAAACTCATTCTATGACTCCTAAAGTCTTTCTATAACTCTTAGAATCATTCTATAACTCCGAGAATTAATCTAGGACTCTTGAAAAATTTCCTAGAATGTTTCTATGACTCCTAGAGTCATTCTATGACTCCTAGAAACTTAATATATAGTTTCTAGGGCTCCTAGAATCATTCTCTGACTCCTAGAATAATTCTATAACTTCTAGAACCATTCTATAACTCCGAGAGTCATTCTATGACTCCTAAAAAGCTCCAATATAGTTTCTAGGACTCCTAGAATTATTCTATGATTCTTAGAATCAATCTAGGACTCCTGAAAAAATTTCCTAGAATGTTTTTATGACTCCTAGAATCATTCTATGACACCTAAAGTCATTTTATGACTCCTTAAGTCATTCTATGACTCCTAGAAAGTTCCAATATAGTTTCTAGGACTCCTAGAATTATTCTAAGATTTCTAGAAAATTTCTAAATTTTTTTAAAAATTTTAAATTCTTTTTCTATCTACCCAATCAATCTCAGATCTCATTTTTTGTCACTAAATACTCAAATATGACAATTTTTGACATAAAAAAAAATTTTTATCCACTACAAACATATATATTTATACAATCATATATCTATTTAGAAAGAGAGTCGACCGCAAGAAATTGATTTCCAATAATTAATTCTGACTAGGTATGCGCGAATACAGAAACCACTGCAGCAGATTGTAAGCGATGAGGAATCACTCCAGTAAAAGGAACACACACACACACACACACACACACACACACACACACACACACACACACACACACACACACACACACACACACACACACACACACACGCTTATGAATATTAGCGGTTAGTGCATTTGAAGGACACGTTTCACCGTTTGTACTTTGATAAAACAACAACACCAATAAAAATAATAATAATAATAATAATAATAATAATAATAATAATAATAAATTTTGTTGGTAATTGGTAATTGCAGTGCATGCTCTGGAGCTGGTACATGGCCAATGACACTCAATTTTACGTCCTGGGGATTTTGCTCCTGATACTGAGCGTTAAATATTTCAAAGCTGTCTCTGTAGCGGTTGTGCTATTGATTGTCTCGTCTTGGTTTACTACTTTTACTGTCGCTTACTCCAATGACTATATTGCCAGGTAAAGATTATTTTGTGATTTTTTTATTACTTGAAAGATCGTAAAAAAATTTTATTTACCGAAAAAATCAGTGGAAAATTGCATTTAAAACTATATTAAGGCTTTGTGAGTCTTATTAGGACTCCTAGGAGGATTCTAGGACTCCTAAAAATTTTTTAGGACTCTGTGGCAGATATTTGAGAGTCACAAAAAAATTTCGGAGATTATTTAAAAAATTTCGAAGCATCTAGAATTTTCCTAGGACTCCTAGAAGAATTCTAGGACTCCTAAATAATTTCTAGGACTCCTAGAAAATTGCTGAAATTTTACAAAAAATATTTTTGAGCTTCCTTAGACTTTTAAGACTTCAACAAATAATTCTAGAAATCCTAGTGACATTCTAGAACTCCTAGGGACATTCTAGAACTCCTAGAAAATTTCTACGACTCCTAGAAAATTGCTGAAATTTCACAAAAAATATTTTTGAGTCTTCTCGGACTCAAAAGAGGTCTTAAGACTTCCTATAATAATTCTAGGACTCCTAGTGACGTTCTAGGACTTCTAATGACAATCTAGAACTCCTAGTGACATTCTAGAACTCCTAAAAAAATTCTAAGACTCCTAGAAAATTTCTACGAGTCCTAAAAAATTGCTGAAATTTTACAAAAAATATTTATGAGTCCTCTCGGACTCAAAACGGGTCTTACAACTTCCTATAATAATTCTAGGACTCCTAAAAAAATTCTAAGACTCCTAGAAAATTGCTGAAATAAAAAAAAAATATTTTTGAGTCTTTTCAGACTCAAAAGAGGTCCTAAGACTTCCTAAAATAATTCTAGGACTCCTAGTGACATTCTAGAACTCCTAAAAAAAATTCTAAGACTCCTAAAAAATTGCTGAAATTTTATAAAAAATATTTTTTAGTCTTTTCGGACTCTTAACAGGTCACAAGACTTACTCTAATAATTCTAGGACTCCTAAAGATATTCTAGGACTCCTAAAGACATTCTAGGACTCCTAAAAAAATTCTAGGACTCCTAAAAAAATTCTAGTACTCCTAAAAAATTCCTAAAATCAAAAAAAATATTTTTGAGTCTTCTCGGACTCTCAAAAATTTTCAAGACTTCCTATAATAATTCTAGGACTCCTAGAAAAATTGTAAGACTCCTAAAAAAATTCTAGAACCCCAAAAAAATTACTAAAAATTTCCAAACTTTTCTTAACCAATTTTTCCCAATCCGGCCTGTAAAATCTTGAACCAACCATCGTCTTACCATCAGTCGGTAATTACCGACCGCCAATAAAAAATTATAACTTACCAGCTGAGTTTTCCTATTCTTAACTCCTTCCAGGATACAAGAACCCTTCGCACTGTTCGACGAATTATACGACAAGCCATGGCTAAGAGCAGGCCCCTACTTTATCGGGACAATAACCGGGTGGATGTTATTCAAAACAAACTGCAAGATCCACACCCCTGGGGTGAGTACGCGCTAAATAAAAACCAGGTGTGATAATTACAAGGTAATTAACGTATCTAATTACAGTGGGCGAAAATTATCGGGTGGATAATTTCAAGCGGGATAATGCTCGCTGTTGTTTACGGTCTCTACCCCGGTAACATGACAGTTACCGTGAGCTCCCTCTACGCGGCGCTGGGTCACACCGCATGGGCACTCGCTGTTTCATTCATCGTCGTCCAGTGTTGCACCGGATCAGCCGCTATTGTTAATAGTTTTTTGTCATTAAGGCTTATTTACCCGATGTCACGGCTCACCTACTGCGCTTATCTAGTTCATCCTGTTATCATGATGATTACCAGCATGCAAATGGACGGGCCTTTGCATATACACAATGGACTTGTTGTAAGTTTTTTTATTATTTTTTAACTTTACCTCTAAATTAAAACAATTAATCTAATTATTTTTATGTCTTCGCCGGCATTTTTAGAATCTTTAAAGTCTTAGCTTTAAGATCCACTACAATTTTTTGCAATTAAAAATTTTTTCGGCCATGTTTTCAGCGCCCCCAACTCAAAAAACCCGATTTTTTGAGATTTTATCATATTTTTGATGTTTAAAAAATTTATAACTTGGTTTGTAACTAAAATTAAAGAACCGGACTAATTTTATATTAAAGAAGACACTTTTAGCTACAACTTTTGTCCAAAACATTTTTTTTATAAGATCAAATTTTTTCTTAGAAAAAATAGTCAAAGTTTGAAACTCGGAATTGTCGTAGAAAAAAATCAAAAAATCTTCAAGCTTGGATTAAAAATAGACAACTAATTATTTTTATGTCTTCGCCGGGATTTTTATCATCCTCAGAGTCTCAGCTTTAAGACCCACTATAAATTTTTCCAATTCCGCCATTTTTTTTTACAGTTTTCAGCGCCCCCAGTTCAAAAAACTCAATTTTTTGAGATTTTATCATATTTTTGGTACTTAAAAAATTCATAACTTTGTTAGTAATTAAAATTAAAGAACCGGACTAATTTTATTTTAAAGAATATACTTTTAGCTACAACTTTTGTTTGAACATTTTTTTCTAGGACTGAATGTTTGTGGAATTGAAAAAATTTATAGTGGGTCTTAAAGCTGAGACTCTGAGGATGCTAAAAATCCCGGCGAAGACATAAAAATAATTATTTGTCTATTTTTAATCCATTAATGAAATTTTAAATGATTTTTTTTGCAAAAATTGAGTTTCAAACTTTGACAATTTTTATTAAACAAATAATTATTTTTACAAAAATTATACCTACAGGTGTCTTCTTTAAAACAATTTTAGACCGATTAAAAAATTTTATTTAGAAAAAAAATGACAAGCTTCAAGCCTAAAAAATTTTCTCAAAAATTTATTTTTTTTTAATTATTTTAACACAATTAAATATAAATATATTCAATATAAATATATACCAGATTATAACTTATGTAACTAGGGGTGTGCAAATATCGTTCGAATCGAATCGAATCGAATATTGATATTCGATTCGAAATTCGAACCGGATAATTCGAATTTTCGAATTAATCAACATTCGACGAATAATTCGAAAGAATTCGAAACTTTTCGAATTATTCGTAATTTTTGGAATAATTTGAATTTTTTCGAATTAATCGAATTTTTTCGAATTGTTCGTCGAATTTCAAATAATTCGAAAATTCAAATTATTCGATTCGTAACGAATAATTTTTAAGTTCGAATTATTCGCACACCCCTAATTTTAAACCCTAATCTACTTAACTCTTGATAAGTCTTGATAGCAATAGCTACGCGGACATGTAAAAATGAAAACTCTAAATTTTTTCCAAGTTACTAATCTGATCAACTGTTTGGCCTAGAATCCTTGTAGAGAATGTGAAAACGATTCGATTGATGTATAACAATGATTAAAAATGAACTTATCGAAAATTTTAAACCTTACTCTAGTTAACTTTTGATAACTCTTGATAACAATAGCCACGCGGACATGTAAAAATGAAGACTAAATTTTTTCCAAGTTACTAATCTAATCAACTGTTTGGCCTAGAATCCTTGTAGAGAATGTGAAAACGATTCGATTGATGCATAATAATGATTAAAAATGAACTTATCGAAAATTTGAAACCCTAGTCTAGTTAAGTCTTGGTAAGTCTTGATAGCAATAGCCACGCGAACATGTAAAAATAAAAATTCTAAATTTTTTCCAAATTAGTAAGCTATTCAACTGTTTGGCATAGGATCCTTGTAGAGGAAGTGAAAACGATTCAATTGGTACATAAGAATGATTAATAATGAACTTATCGACAATTTCAAATACGGGTGTGCGAATATCGTTCCAATCGAGTATTGATATTCGATTTGAAATTCGAATCGAATAATTCGAGTTTTTGAATTAATCGAAATTCGACGAATAATTCGAAAGAATTCAAATAATTCGAATTATTCGTAATTTTTCGAATTATTCGAATTTTTTCGAATTATTCGTCGAATTTCGAATAATTTGAAAATTCAAATTATTCGATTCGAATTTTGAATCGAATATTAATATTTGATTCGAAACGAATAATTCGTAAGTTCAAATTATTCGCACACCCCTATATGTAACCTTAAAATATAATAAATATATTAATTATGATGATTTATTGACTAAAAAAGTCATTTTGCTGAAGAGTCAAGCTGCAAACTTTTTTTCAATCGGCGATTTCTCGGAAACTGTAAGAGATAGAAAAAAAATTATGAAAATTTTTTGTAGGAAATTTTATCCTCTACAACTTTGTAAGAATACATTTTTTTCATATTTTCATTATTTTAGCAGTTATCGTCCTTTATTCTCCGAAGCCCAAAAAAAAATTTGAAACATCTTTTGTAGAAAGTTAAAATGATTAATTAAAAATAGATAACTTATTATTTTTATGTCTTCGGCGGCATTTTTATCATCCTTAGAGTCTCAGCTTTAAGACCCACTATTAATTTTTCCAATTTCACCATTTTTTTTCAAAGTTTTCAGCGCCCCCAGTTGAAAAAAAAAACCCTTTTTTTACGAATTTACTCAATTTTCGGGACTTAAAAAGTTCATAACTTTTTTTCTAATCAAAATTTTAACACCGGACAAATTTTATCTTAAATAGAGACACTTTTGGCTACAATTTTTGTTTAAAAAATTTTTTTAGGCTCAATAATTACCGAGATAAAAATTATCAGAGATAAATTTTCAAATTGTGAATTTTAATTTCTAATTCTGGAAATCGGTTTTGTTTCAGCTGACAGTGTACTTCGGTAACTTGGTGGCGTCTTATCTGATGTCCTTCTGCATATCCTTGGCCCTGGAAGCGCCGGTTGTAAATTTACTAAAAATAGCGTTCGCTTCAAACAAAAGATCGCTAAATCGATAAAAAACAGCGAAAAAATTAGTTTTACAAAAAATAATCTTTTTATTTTTTATTTAATTTTTATTATTATTAATATTATTAATTTTATACAATTTATGTACCTGTAATAAATTTTTTAATAAAAATAAAAAAAATGTGAATCAATATTTGATTATCCAGACGCTCGGTTTATTTTTTATTCTTCTCATTCTGTCTATTGATATTAAATGAAACATGAATTTATATTAAGTTACCGGAAATTAAAGTTGTATAGCCCGTAATAATAATAATAATAATAATAATAATAATAATAATAATAATAATAATAATAATAATAATAA